ATTTACTGTCCATGTACTATAGCCAGGAGACACAGCCACGAGTTAGATTCTTGTCACATAAGGCATGATGTATACTGGGGGGGGAGGTGGGGCTGAGAGTGGTTAATAGTAAAGCATCTAGGTTTCAGTGAGGCAGAAAATGAATGACTTCAAGGTACTGGAGAAAAGAAATACATCTACTAGCTGAGGGAATGTTCTTAGGAATTGCTGACCTTTGATGGAAAGATAAGATTTAGAAGAGGATTAAAATGGAGAGACACTGTAGATAGAGAAGACAGGCTTCTGAGCTCCTGAAATTAGCACACAGATCCTTAAATTTCCTTAAACATCTATGCTAGATTACAGAAAAACATTATTCTACTATTTTTCTGAAGGAAACAGAAATCATCTTTATTAGTCTTTGTTCTGTCAACCTCTTCAGGTCAACAGAAGAGGGACTAAAAAGACACAAAGCAAGTTTTGATTGTATTGGATATGAAATATTTCCTACATATTTCCTTACATATGAATAACTTTGAATAAATTTATGGTACAATTTTTAAAAAGTTAGACTCTCTCTTTGATCTGTGGTAGAAGCTCTTTAAAAATTATGCAATTATGTATTTTATTTCTATGCATTCAAACAATTTGCAAAAATTCCCATACTATATTATTTTCAAGAAAAATTCAGAATGAGACATCACTAGATAGCATTGCATGAACATGGACCCACACTCGACACAATTTCATTTAATAAGATAGATTTAATCACATAACAGAAGACACACAGAATCCCATTTACTCTGAATGAATCAGGTTGCCTGCATTTGCCATATCTAGGGCACCAACGTTGAATCTTTTGGCCCCATGACCTCAGCATGTACCTCCTTCTCTTGCTCCTGGCTCCCAAGCCATTCATAGAAGTTTCTCCCTGGGTGGCTTCTTTGTTTCTCCTCTTATATACCAGATCCCACTTCATCATCATTCATCCGCACTATGTTGCACCTTCAGTGCTCAGCTGAATGGTCTAAGACTTATACACACCTTTCAGTTCAACCCAAAGCAGCTGTACAGTCATTAGGCCATCAGTGCAGTCAAGATGTGGATGTTGTTTAAGGAACAAAATGATAGGTGCCAGTAAAAAAAAATGATGTCACCATAAATTGGAAAGAAATGTAGGTATTTCAATGTGATTATCACCCTTTCTTGGAAGTATATTTCCATGGTTACTTTTCTGATTATTCAGAACTCTAATACAGATCTTAAGAAAGGATCTTAAGAGCATGTCTTGAACATGTTATAACAATATGCCAAGAACACACAGGTACTCTCACACAAACACATACACAAAGGAAAAAGAAGATACAGGTGTCTATCAAAAGGAAAAAATTAGAAAAGATGATGACAATTACACAAATATGAACATAGTACTGACATGTTGCACAGAGATAATTATAGAGTAGTAGAAACCATGGAAACAGAATGTTCCAAAAGATAATAATGACTGACTTTTTTTTCTAAAATTTTTATAAGCTACTACTTAATAAGTTTTTCCCCCCTCAGGTACTTACCAAAATCTTTCCAAGTTTCACTGCTCAAATGCAATGTACTAGGCTCTTATGCAACAAATTAAAAAGATAAAAAATCCAGGTCATTTCCAAATCCATTGTAATTTGTTTAGAAACCTAAACTTTAAAACTCATTTAAAGTCCAAAATTTCACAGTTGAAAAGTTGGAAATGTAATTGATTTTTTTTCCTGGAACACTTAGCCGCCTTTCAATATTATAATTTAAGGGAATCATCCCCCTAAATATTTTGGAAATGCCTGAGAAGGGAATAAGAAGGCACTGTGCTATGTTATACTATTTGTATCTAAATTATAGTTTTTCATGGTAATTATCCAACAAAGATAACATTTATACACATCTAATAATCAGGTTAAAAAGTAGGGTAATTCATTCAAAAGTTATTAAACCAGAATGCTTTTATCAAAATAACGAAGAAGATAATTTTATAGGCAAAAATATACATTTATATGGAACTCCAATTAAAATAAATACATAGTTAATTAAAACAAGATTTAATTTCCAAGTTTTTGAAAAAAGTATTTTTGTAAATTTGAATGGCAATATAAATCAGAAATGACCCACAATTGGTTATACATTATGTAATGACTATTTAAAATAAGCTACTCATTTCTTTAACTTGGTTAAAATTATAGACTAGAAATTTAAATTTAACAAAAATTTACAGATATTTGATGTAAAACTGCTCATCCATGAACCTCTCTTATTAAGAAAAATTTTAGCTTGAACTACAACAATAAGAATTAAAACCATAAATTCTAATTTTTTTAATCCTGTATGTTATATGAAATGAAAATTCTGGGTCTTGCCCTTATTCTTGAATGCTGTGATTTCACTCACAGAAAACTCCTAAACAAAATAGTATGACTTTGGTTCATAGTTTATAAACTTTGCACAAATTTTGTTATGATAACCTGTTACCCACAGGGGAAGTTAAACATACACAAAAACAATATGATATTTACTAATTTTACATGATTGAATATAAAACTCCATTGGATCTGAATTTGTTTAGTCAACTGGAATTTAGTATGGACCAAAATCAGAAAAGTGAGCAATTAACATAAAATGTAAGTAATATCAGAAAAAGAAGACACAATCAATTAAAACCTGGTGATTGACAAACAAAATGCAATGAAAATTTATTATTTTTTCTTAACATTCTTCAAGTGATCTAGTAACCTAAAACATGGGATTTTAAACCTAGTATGATTGTTGTCAAATTCAGTAATTAAAAAATACTACCCTCCATAGAAAAGACACTCTTCTGTCAATTTTAAAGGATATTTACAGTTTACTACTTTTAAAACAAATTATTTACTCAAATAAATTATTGCCTTCAAGTGCTGGGTCCTCCAAGCATTTATTGACCATTATTTCTAGATTATATAAGCATGATAATTACTAGCAAGTAAAACTTGTTTTAAAAGCTTTGATAAGAATGTGGAAGGATGGGGGGAAAGATGGTGGGGGTGATTGATTGATCAAGATGCATTGATCAAGATGCATTGTACTCATAATCTGACTTCTGGTATTGAAATCCTTTTTATCTAACTACTTAAAAACTAAATATTTTTACTAAGCATTAGCAAGTAATGAACAATTATTAAAACAAAGGATTCCCATTTGTGTCTACAGCTTAAAGTCCAATGAGTGATTTGTAGTGATTCAATACTTTATGTGAATATAAAATCAAATAACCTACTTTCTTAAGACTATAATATGAATGGAATTATAAACAACTACAACCAGAAGTTTTGTTCAAAAACTGAATATTTACTTTAGAAGAGATATTCTTAAACAAAAAATGTATTTTCTAAATTATTTTAAGCTTGCAGACTCATTTACTTTTATTGCTTAAGAAAAATTATTAAAATGCACTTGGAAAATGTTTGCTAGTGGAACTGCATCCATTTTTCTTTTCCTAACTTTACTTCACATTGTGATATAGAATTAATTTTATAAAGGCAAAATTTTTATATATTATAAAATTAGTAACATGTTTTAATTCAAAAGGCAATAATTTACAGAAATAATATTTCCAAAGAATTTTGTGGGGTTTTTCTACAAAGTATTGAAATTTTTTTTCAGTTAAAAAAATTTTGCTTTAAGGTGTTTAGAAGCATTTCAAGTATTCTAGATTTTTGGAAAACATTGAATTCTTTACAAAAGACAGTTATGTTTAACTTTTACTCCATTGTAAAAATAAAAAGTCTTAAGGACTTTTTCCCCCTTCCAAAATCTCATTTTCACCTGAAATAATTGTATTCAGTTGATCTCAGCAGGTAAAGCATACATTCTTACAAGGTTTCACATTTCAAAATTTCAATAACACATTCAGACCAAGCCCTCCTCTTTGTGTGTGTGCGCGTTTGTCCATCAGCTTGCAGTTCTGTTATTTACACTAAATTTTAGTCTTCTGTAGCTCCCCAGAAATACCTTAGTGAATCCTCAGCAGTTACTAACCACTTAATAATTGTGACCCCGCCAAGCCCCTTCAAGTAGATCGTTAACCACAAGAGTGCCTGACAGTTTCCAAACCGTATCCTCGGTCCAAAAAGGAAAAGATAGGGCTTTGTGAGGCCGAAAGGAAGCGAAGGAAAACAAAACAAATGTAGCTCAAGCTGAAAGTGAAAAGTGCTTGGACAGATTAGTATTTTCTTTTCTGCGAGGCACCCTGCCAAGCTCTTTGCCCCCCCCCCAACACAGAAGAGTTCTTTCTTTCTTTTTTGTCCGATTTTTCTTTTCTGTTTCTTGGAAAGTGTTGCTATCTGTCCCTCCCACCGGTCCTTCATAATTATTGTTGTTGTTTTCTTTATTTCTTTCTCATCTGCACACATCACAGGCTGCTGATACACCCTCCGCCTCATCCTGTCAAAACCCCAACTCTGGGCGCCCCTGGGTGTTGAACCTCTGCCGGTTTGGGTCCACACATCCCACTCTCTCCCTTTCACGCCACTCACTGGAGTCGTGGGATCCCCCACCCCAGCTGCGGTGAAAACCGGAAATTTTCTCTTACACCGTCCCCCCACCCCCGCCGCCCTGCTCAGCCCCCCATTCGCCGCGGATCGCCTGGGAGCTGGGAAGCTCGGAGCACGGCCGGGGCTCGGCCGCCTCTCCCCTCTCTCCGGAAGACTTTAATTTGCACACTTGCTTGCCACCCCGCCGGCCCAGAGCACCCCCCCCCCCCACGGGCCCCCGCTGCCGGGTGGGTCTCTGGCAAAGTCGGCTTTCGGGTCCCCTCCCCCGGTGCGCCGCGCGGCCGCCCCTGCAGCCTCCCCACTTCGGGCCCCCGAGCCCCGGCCGGAGCCCCGAGGCCCCCGACCGCCCCCAGCGCAGCGCGGGCGGCGCCCTCCGCCGTCCCTCCGCCCTCCGCCGCTGTGCCCACCCCCTCGCGGCCGAGAGCGCCGCGGCCGGGTCCCCAGTCTCGTTACCTGCTCCGCGCGCGTTGGACACGTGCGGAGCCGGACTGACACTCGCCGCCGCTCTCCGGAGGCTCGGCGCCACTGGGCCCCGCAGGTAAGAAGCTACGGATTTGACTCGGGTGGGTGGACTTTCAGGGTAGGGGTCTGGGGGGACATCTGGAGGCTTGCCAGGAATGGAGACAAGGGTGGAGGGGGTAAGTACTGGAGTGGGGGGGCTGTATGTCCTCAGAATCGGCTTTGATTAACCCCTTAGGAGCCGAGACAGGGTTGGTTACGGGCGGGGGGCATTTTGGGGGAGCTTAGAGGAATCTTTTCTAATGCGGGGAGAGAGGGGTACCCACATCAGGGACATCCTCTCCCCCACTTCGCCCAACACCCAGGTCCTGTGCCAGCTCCCACATGTCCGTGCGCACAAACACCCACACATACAGTTCTCATCTAGCTTCTCCGAACAGAACTTGGACTCCACTTGGACATTCGCGTAATCATTCACATTGAGGTTTAAATTGTACCGTCTCCGGAGACCCCATGCTTGAAAACGTGTTTCCGTGCCCCCTGTTCCTTTCCCTCCCCCCCCCGCCCCCTAGAAAGCTCGCTCTGCAGCTTTTGGAGGTGTGGGTGTGGGCTCCATCTTCCCCACTGTGAAATAAAAGTTAACGCAGGCTTCCTGCTGGCAACCCCCGCGGGCGTGTTCTGCCCCGCCGAGAGCTCGCCGCCCGCCGGTCCCCAGGCTCGAAGCCCCGCGAGGACGCACGTTTGCTTTAGTTCCCGAGTTTATTTTTGTATTGTTTCAACTCTCAAGAGTTCAAAATGCACGCCCCGCAGTGATCCGTTCCCGGCCCCGCGGCGCGCCCGTCCGTGTGCACGTGGACACATGTGCGTGTGCGCACACGCGGGAGTCGCGGTCCCCGGGGCGGCCTCTCCATGCAGCGCTGGTGGCGACCCTCGCGGGGCTCGGCGAGGCTTGGGGAGAGGCACATGAAGGATTTCATTGAGTGTGAAGACAGAGAGCAGAGACAGAAAGCAGAAGGAGGCGGCTGCAGCCTTTGTAGTCGCGGAGGAATGCGGAAATGTTGAAGCACTATGTCAAACTTTTTTGAAATGGGGTCAAGTCACATTCAGCCAGCGTGGGAAAGCAACAACAACAACAAAAAAAAGTGGAGGAGAGGGGGGGAAAAGGCATTGCTGCTCCGATTTCCCCGCGCCGCCGAAGCGGACCATCCCGGGGGCGCGCGGGAGGGGGGGAGGGGGCGGGTGCGGGGCCGGGCGGGGGCCGCGGGCGCAGCTCCCTGCGGGGGTGGGACGTCCCTGACGCTTCCTTCGCTTGGGAGAGGGGCGGGGGGGGGGGGCTGGACTGGAGCGAGAGGGGGAGGGCGGCGTCGAGAGGGGCGGGCTGGGCGACCGCCGGCGGTTTCCCCGCTACCTGTGTGGCCCACGACCTGGCTCAGACCCCGGGGCAAGCTCCGGGGGGCTCTTTTCTCGGCTTTTAAGGGAAGTTCTGAAAGGAGCGAGTGTGGGCGGCTCTGCCCACGCTGCGGTCCGCTGCGTCCGCACCCGGCGGGGGTCGCGCCTTGGGTGTTTTGGTTCCCTCCCCCCCCCATCTCTTTTCCTTCCTGCCAGAAGATCAGCGGGCCAGCGGTTGCGGGGCAGGTAATTTCGAGGTGTCCCGAGGGACTCGCGGCTGTGGGGGTGGGAACTTGTCTAGGTTCTGGGTAGCCACTGAATGGGTAGGGTACGTGAGGGTACCCCCCCGTTACCCCCACACACACCGGCGCTTTGTTGTGCAGAAGGGGTGAGGGGGTGCCGACTGCACCACCAGACCTGGCCCTCTAGCCCACGGGGCAGCTGATAACGCCACCTCCGCTCCCTAGGTCGGGGCGCCGCTGGCACTGGATAGAAGTTCTCCAGACCTCCCCCAACAGAGCCCCTCTTTTTATCACCTTTACTCACCCCTCCCCCTTTTAAGGGAGGTTGCGCGTTGACAAGGTTTCAGTCAGTTGAAAACTTAACAAGATGAGTCACGGTTATGCTATCTTGCTCCTGAAGTTATTCTTTAATGACACGGCCAGCCAGCATGTGTCAGACACTACTTTCCCCTCACCCTGGTGGGATCCCTTGGGGAGGGGGACTTACCCGCCCCCCCCTCGAGTCGCCCACCCTCTAGCCTCGGTCCTCCCCTACCAGATGGCTTGTCTTGCCTGGGTTTCCACTAGGGAGGTCCTCGGAGTCGGAGGAAGAATTCCGTTTCCCACCAAAGACTCCTTCTCCCCCCCCCCAAAAAAAAGACCATTTGTATGTGCGGAGCCCTTTTTAAATGTCTGCTCATAGAAAAACTGAAAGTAGAAAGAAAGGAAGCAATTTCCGAGCAGATGTCTGACCACCCCTTCTCGCACACTCCCAGCATCGGGTTACAAGGTCCCAGGAGCCCCCACCCACATTCTGCGGGCCCCACACGGGCGAACCTCCCAAGTCCCTTCCCACCAGATTGCGCACGACCTTTGAATGCCCATCCCCACCCCACCCCCGACCCTCCTTCTGCCGGCCGGTCCGGGCCCCTGGGAACTAGGCTCTCCCTCCCCTTACCCCCCGCGGGGCAACAATGATATAGGTATAAATATGAAGCCGTGACATTGACGTGCCCGGCGCCTCCCCTCCCCCGCGCTCCCGGCACACTCTGGGCCGCTCGGCACGCCCCCTCCCGTCCCGCTGCGTCCCGCGCGGCGCTCATCCCCGAGGGGCCCCTGCAGCCTCCGCGCGAAGACGGGCTCCAGCCCGGCGAGGGAACGAAAAGTAACTTGGCCTTTTCTCGGAGAAACTGGGGAGGAATCGGCGTCGGGGGAAGAGGAGGGTAGCGATGGGGGCTCGGGGAAGGGGGAGCTGGAGGAGGGAAGTCCGGAGGAACCCCCGTGGATAGCTAGCTCCGGGGATGTCTGATGGCACTTTCTTCTCGTCTTCCCCGTCTCGTCTTTTAGGTGCTAAGATTGCGGACCGAGGCGCGTCCGGGCAGATTATGTGATCGCCTCCGTGTCGGGGTGGAGGACTTCGCTTCGGGGAGGGAAGAGGAGGGATCGGCGGTTCGCTCCTCTCCGGCGGCGCGGCGCGGCGCAGCGACTCGGCTAGGCGGAGTTTCGCGGCCGCCGCACCACAGTCGAGCCAGGCGAGCCGGCGGGGAGGTCGCTCCATCCAGTCCCGGCGGCCACGAAAGCCCCGGCACCGGAGCGCCGGAGCGGGCAGGGCGAAGGCCGGGGGGGACCGAGGGAACGAAGGAGCGAGCCGGCGATTGCACCCCCCGCCGACCCCAGCGACGCAGCGCCGGGCGGCATGGAGAAGGAAGGGCTGAGCCGGGCGGACCAGCAGTACGAGTGCGTGGCGGAGATCGGGGAGGGCGCCTATGGCAAGGTGTTCAAGGCCCGCGACCTGAAGAACGGAGGTCGGTTCGTGGCACTGAAGCGCGTGCGGGTGCAGACGGGCGAGGAGGGCATGCCGCTCTCCACCATCCGCGAGGTGGCGGTGCTGAGACACCTGGAGACCTTCGAACACCCCAACGTGGTCAGGTAAGGAGGGAGGACCGCGCCGTGCCCTCGGGGGAAGCGGGCTGGGGCGTGGGGGGGGGGGTGGGCCGATCCTCGGGTCCAGAAAGGTGCCAGGCAGGGGTCGGCCTGGAAGGCCCTGCGCGATCTATTAACCAGACAAGATGAGAGTGAGTTTTATCCACAGAGCCCTGAGCCAGAACCAGTGACCTTGCCAGCAGAGCAAACAACAACAAAAAACAAACCACAGAGGAAAAAAAAAACTTGCTTCTTTACCGCTGAGCTACTCCCAAGTACTTTCTCTCTACTGTCCTTTAGGAGTCCTGGAGAGCTGGGTTCTTTTGGAGACAAAATCCAGCCAGCCTAAAACAGGTTCCACCAGCTCCTTGTACATATATAGATAGATAGATACACATATGTATGTATATACATGTACATATATACATATATGTATATATTTCTGCCTTTGGAGGACTTCATGAGACTGAGAATGAGTGAGGAGGTAACAGGTTGTGTGATAATTAGAAGGGAATTTTAAGGGTCGAGCCTAATATAAATCAGGTTTAAGAAAATGTAGAACATGTCAGTCCTACTCAGTTTCTTTTTATCAAAGTCGCCAAATAACGATTTCTGATGGTCTAAGGAGTTGGTGATGCTTGGTGTCAAATGCCGTTTTAAAAAATGTCAAAGTCAAGCATGGTGATGCATGTCTGTAATCCCAGCTCTTGGGAGGCTTAGGCAGGAGAGTTTAAAGCCAGCCTTGGCCACACACATTGGGAGACCCTATCTCAGAAGAAAAAAATAAAATTGGACTGGGTAAGTGATACTGGGCCAGCTTCCTAAGCATAAGGCTCTCCCAGTACTATCAGGTGGGGGGAAATGTCTTGCAAAAGTGTCACCTGTTGGTATTACTTCATGACCCTATGCTGACAGAGTCTTTAGACTTCTATTAAGGGTTAGATGTGAATCTAGGATGTGGCCTCTTTAGATTCTAAATGTCCTGCCCTGGCTTTCCCAGTTATGCAAGTGGGTAGGCAATGCAGTATTCCTAACTTTCTCCTGTGTAGTAACCAGTATTAAAAGAAAGTGTTTGTGATTTAGGATAATGATGTTTTCTTAGTGATCCTGGAATTTCCCCATTGTGTGTGGTTGTGTCATCCTTTTCTTTCTTAAACCAATGCATAGCTACATAGCTTGAAATCAAAAAGGAATGCAGAGAAACTTGTACACACTGAGTTGTGATTTTTAACCTTTTTGGGCTCTTAATGTGTGGGAGAAAGGAGATTTGGAGGATCATCTCCCTTTTTTCTTGTCCATCTAGGGATTCTGTTCGACAAATACGTGCCTACTGTGTGCTCTGTGGATGAAACTATGTAAATAAGCATGGCTAAATATTTTTGTAAAAAGTCAAAACAGTTTAACATTAGTCATCAAAATGGAGAGACCCAGGACTGACCTTTGAAATACCAAGCCCTCTACAGAACCAAGAGAGACCAAGTATCTTCAAAATCTTCCTGGGAGGTTTTAACTTGTCTCCTTATCCTAGGCTGGGTGATTTGTGAGATGCTTTGTTACCAGCACAGTCAGACTGAGGCTAGAAGGCAGCAGAGAATCATAAGTACATAAATAGAGTAATAAAGGGTTGGAAAGATATGACCCCATTAGCCTATACTTAAGGCAGAAAAATGAGATTGGGAGAATAGTGTTCTAGAAGATGGAAGTTTATGTAAAAGCATTAGTTTACCTTTTGTGTCTCTGTGTGTGCTTGTTGAAAAACAACAAAAACTTTGGGAAGGAGGGTCTTCCCAAAAGGGAAGGGAGGGAAAAAAGCAAACGTTCAATTCACCAGACTTAGTTCTTTTCCCAGAGCAATCACAGAAGCTCTTCCCAAAGAATGACTTTCAGCACTTGAATTTTAAGACCGAAGTTGCTTTTTTTTTTTGTCGGTCGTGGGGCTTGAACTCTGGGCCTGGGCGCTGTCCCTCATCTCTTCAGCTCAAGGCGAGCGCTCTACCACTTGAGCTACAGCGCCACTTCCAGTTTTCTGGTGGTTTATTGGAGATAGGAGTCTCAGGTCTCTCCTGCCTGTGCTCGCTTTGAGGCGTGATCCTCAGATCTCAGCCTCCTGAGTAGTTAGGATTACAGGCGTGAGCCACAAGCGCCCGGCCGAAGTTTTTGTTTTATTTTTGTTACCTGTAAAAGATCCTATTGAGAGTGATTATCAGGTATACAAATTAAAATATAAAATTAAATAATGTTTTTCTAATAGACTGTATAATACTGTCACAAAGCCCAATTAGGAAAGTTGTGCCATTGTGTTGGGTTCCGTTGGTTGATCCTCTTGAGATGGGTGATCTTTAGAGATGTTGAAGTTGACATGGATTCTCAACTGTGAATTATACAAGGCTCTACAATGAACTGAAGAAAAAGGCATCATTCTCTGTAATTGTTTTTTACCTGAAGTGAGGTAATGATGATACCTATCTTGTAGAGTTTGTAAACTTAAAAGTACTTCAAGTATCTTGAATATTTGTATTTCAGCAGATTAGTGGGACTCTTGCCTTCCAGTTCCTAAGAAGGCATCAGTTTTTCTGACTTTTTTTTTAAATCTTGTCCAGCTTATTTTATTTAGTATAATGTCCTCATGATCCATCCATGTTGATAAAAACAACAGTATTCCTTTTAAAAAGGTGAAGGTATATGTCCAGTAGTTGGATTTCTGTATTATACTGTAGTTTGGCTTTTAACATTTGGGGGTACCTCCATACCAATTGACATTCTTGTATTTTCTTGCCAGTTTATCTTTTTTTTTAATTTAATTTAATTTTATTTGTGAACATACTGTACAGAGGGGTTACAATTGCATGGGCAGGATAATGCGTACATTTCTTACCAAGCATTGCAGCCTCCTCCTTTGTTTACCCTTCACATCACTTCCCAGCCTCCCCCCTCCCCCCTTTTCTGACTTTTTATATAGAATACATGATATTAAAACTCAGACACTTCAGGCTTTAGAAATAATGAAGCTACTTGAGAATAATTAGCCTGAGGTTTGTCCCCCCCCCAAAAAAAAACTCCAAGCAAACTCCAAAACACATTAGTCAGAAGTTGTGAAATTAGTGACACTTGAAGTTATTGATGAGATTACCCTCAAGAGCTGAATACCTCCATTCTCTCTTGGTTTCCTTCCTGTTTCTTCTCTTCTGCCTCTGCCTTGGGACAACCACTGCCCCCCTTAACTTGCTTGGGTCATATTAGGAATTTCTGATTTACAGGTTTGCTAAGATTTTTTTTTCAAAGTTAGGAAATAAGTGAGAAATGACAACAGTTCCTTCAAGTGTCAGATTTGAACCCCAGACCTGTCGTTGTTGTCCATAGGATAAGTTTTGTAGTTGTATGCCTGGTTTATTCAAAGTTGTTTGGAAGGGCAGATGCCTTTTTAAGTGCCTTCAAGTTATAAGTAATTGATGATAATTATAGGGTTTCCCCACAGATAGTTAAACCTTAAGCTTGAAAGAACACAATAAACATATTAGTTTTATTTTTTAAGTTTTAAGGTTTTAATTTTGAAAGACTTACTATAAAAGCTTACTTGAGTTGTTGGCCCAGGCACTGTGTGCATGCACAGAGATGATGATTTGAAATTCTTGCTTACCTGCATGTGATATCTCCCAGGCACAGGCTTGACCAGCCAAATAGTGTCTGAAATGTAAATTTACTTTTATTTTACAGTTGTTAATCTTGAATTCAGAAGACTTTGCCAAAATCAGACTTCAGTATGAACAAGCGTTGGAGTTTCTGCACTCCATGAATGAGTTCTGTTTTCTATCCTGAACTAAAACACATAGAGAGAAATAAAACATAATAACAAGTTTTGTCAGGAGTGCATTTATTCACCAGCTGTTTATAGGGGCCTATTATGCTGTCAGACAACCTGAAGATAACAAGCTGGGATAGAGGACTGAGCAAGTCAGAATTAGTAGCTACACTTGTATGATATACCTTGTTATAGGATGAGTTGCTTTTTTCTCTTTAACAGTTCATTTGTCTTTATTTCAGTTGCCTTTATTTCAGTCAAACCAGTTTTATAGAGCAATTTAGTTTGCAATAGTTTAGTTACCAGGAATTTGACGGTTGAGTAGGCAAGATACCTAAATGTTAATAAGAATCACATGCTTTTTGAAGATTAAATTTCACCTTTAGGACATACATAATGACCTGTACAAGAAGTCATTCACATGGAACTATGTATAAGAATATTGGATGGGAGAAAATGATCAGAGATGACATTGATGAAGTTGCATTGTACTTATAAACTGACATTTTGAATTGAAACTCCTTTGTACAACTACTTAAAGATAATTTAAAAGTAAAAAAAAAATAAGAGCATTTGCTCCATGTATTCAACACATATTTAGAAAAGACTTCATCTCTAAAAGCCACAGGGTTGGGAGTGCTGGAGAAATACAAATCACTCACTCCTAGCAACTCCCTCAAGTGGTTTCCCAACGTTAGAAGGAATAATATTATCATAAAATTTTAGACATGAAAGTATCATATGCCTAAGTGAAATATAGATAAAGGATTAAATTTATTAGAATATCAGTGAAAGTAATTCAAGTGCAAAAACTGATTCTGTAAATGAATGGTTTAAACTATCAGTGAGTAATATATGCTTTCTAAAGGTCTAAATATGTTAAATTTTTACTAGAATATGCAGTTAATACTTTAAAAATCAAAGAAACAGAAAAGTTAGATGGTTCAGTGATTATTTAGGGACTTGTAATTTTCTCTTTAAACAGCAATATGCAGAATGAAAGGAGAGTACAGTTATGATTTCTCTAGAAAAACTTATAAGATAGAAAAATTTGGCTCTGTATGGAAGCCAGGTCTTCAGGTAGGTAGTTCATGGAGATCCTTACAAAGAAAGGTTGTCTTGTGGATTAGTAATACACTATGTATGGCCTGTTTTAGTGAATGCAGGAATAACTTATTTAAAAGTCAATACGTTAATAATTATGTTC